GCTGGGCATGTTCACCAGACAGCAACTGGCTGCTCTTCTGTGCCTGGAAATTTGGAAAAAATACAGCATAGCTCAGGACAAAGAGCCAGAGCGGGCAGCTCCCTTCAGTGTTGAGTTATTTCCATTCCCTTTCAAGTGGTGGGAATATTTCCCACCCAAGCAGGCTTTGCCAGCACCAAGTACTCTTGGCAAGTCCAATCTGCCAAGCTCACTCCGTCTGTAGGGAACTCTCAACTGGCAGCTGGCTTTTTGCCATTCAGTCCCACAGAGACCACTGCAAAGCCTCTCAGCAGGACCAGATTCTTCCTTCTGAAATATCTGTTAACCTACAGGCAGTAAAATATTTCAGGGTCATGGTCAGCTGGTCAGAGATCCTGTGGTTAACTAGGTCTGATAGCCTCCACTCAAGGTGCTTTTAGGCATTGCAGTTTCCTCTTGAGAGTGCAGGTCTTTCCAGTAAGTGTAAAGCTTTTTAAAGCTGGAATTTAGTGCTGTGAAGTCTTGAGCTGAGGGAGTCCATAGGTTACGTTCTGGCTGGTTGTAAATCAATGTATCAGAGCATGGCAGTCCTGCTGTGATCTGAAGGCAGAGTTAATATTGTCTGCTCTTGGCCTTTCCCAGCTGCAGGGCTGAGCACTGCTGTCTGCCAGGGTTTGCCAAATACAGTCACCAGGAGAAAATCAATGCTAATCAATGTCTACAGACAGGGTTGGAAGCAGAACACCTCCCTGGAGACTTGCTGTCTGCAGGCTGTCATCCTTTAGCTTTTCATTAAGCTTTTAGGCTACCAAAGAGTCTGTCTTTCAAGGTGTAGAGTAGGGAATTTCAGAGAAAGTGAGGGACTTTCCCCAGCTCTAAGGTACTGTGCCCCCAGCAGAAAGATGTATGCATGGGAAACCTCTGCTGCCCTGTGCTAGTCAGTATCTCTGTGCATTGCTGGCCAGCATAAAAGTCAGAGACTTCATCTGAATCTCAGTGGAGTCCATGCTGAGATCCAGAAGAGTCTCACTGACTTCTTCCTGCCCTTCTTGCTGAACCTCTTCTGTTCTGTTCTGTGACACTGACACTCAGCAGGACAGATGTACCCAGGAAAGGCTGGCTGCTCTCAGCCTCTCTTTCTGGTTCTCAGTTCTGAGGTGTCTCTTCTCCAAAATAAGTTTATCACAGGGTCCTCTCCTGTGCTGTGCTGGGTTTGCAATCCCAGGCAGTGAAACAAACTGTAGAGGGATGGGATATGCATTTGTGTGCACATATGGAAAGGGAGTGGAGTGAGAATACATTGGGATGAGGCTCTGTTCCTTACAGAGAAGAACCAACTCAAAGTGCAAAGAAAATGCTGTTGGTGGCTTACAGAGAGAACAAAAGTGAATAAATTCAACCAGATATAGGTATTGACTGGGCACAGGACAATCTCTCTACCTTCTGTAACCCAAGTACTTTTTTGAACTGCTTCTTCCACCCACTTTCTCCCCTCTGATTCTCTCAGCACCTGCTGCATTAAAAATACAATTACATCCTTGAAAAGTGGTGGATTTGGACTCTGTCACTGTGTCAATGACCTTTAGATTTAAGACTGGCTCCCGAGTGACCCCTGCCCCACAGGTCAGTAGTTAAGTCGTCCATTCTCTCCACCTCCTTTCATCACCCAGCCTTCAAAGAACAAAAGTCAGATCTGCCTTGCTCACACCACTTTATCCATGGTCACTGCATATCATTCCCTAGCAGCAAAGAAATTTGTGGAAACTGGTTAGACACTGGAAGATAAGTTCCAAAATGGTTCATGAATCATATGCCTGTGAAGCACATTGGTGCTGCACCTTCACGTTTTCTTTAGAACCAGATGCTAGGATGGATCTTAGTGTCCTGAAACAACTCTGCTTTCCCATTTAATGTAGCTGTCCCAGGAATGCTGTGAATCCCCCTCTGTGATGCTCATTGTACCTTTCATTCCCCCTGATTCTGGCAAGGTACAGCAAACAAGGCTGCTGAGTACAAGCCTCACCACAGTGTCTTCCTCAGCGTGGGCAATACTCCAGAAACACATGTGGGATCTCACTGTGCATTGTCTAGTGCCAGGCACAGCACAGTCACATCCACCAGGATTTGAATCCACAGAATCTCAAACCAAAATCCAGATTGCAGACCTGGCCTTCCTCTAACCACAGGCTGGCCTTCACTGGGATTTGTGCACAAGACTACAGCATCCTTTCAAGATACATTTGCAACTCATTCCTTTCCTTACACAGCCCAAATATCCAATTTCAATTACATTCCACAGCCACAACAGGAATGTTGAGAAATGGGTGTGGTGGGTGTCAGCTCCCTTAGGCTCTGTGACAGGTGAACTGTGGCAGAACTTGTTTCCTGCCTCTGGAGAAAGTAATCCTCATCTGAGCTGAAATGTGGAGCTGTATTCATCCACTGATCCTGTTAGAAATTCCAAGTGAAGGAAACCTCTCACTGAGGTTTCCTTCACTTGGAAACCTCTCACACATTCACAGGAGCACACTTCACACCCTCTGTGCAGGTTAGGAGCACCATGGGTTGGAGCAGACCTTGATTCTTTTAACTCTCCAGCACTCCTTTTAGTACCAGGAGATAACCAAGAATGCTTCTAGAAAATGCCACCTTAGCTGGTCTTCCTTGCAGTATTGACAGGCATAGCTTCACAGAAAAAAAATAAAAATTATAGAAGTAGAAAAAAATGCTGTTCATACAACTCTATTCAGCACTGCTAGTTACAGCTGGGGACAGCAATAATATAATAATCCCTTAGGACTAGGGATAGTTTTGTCATTTGTACTAAGGTTTTGCCACTGCAACAACATATCTGAGACATTTTCAGCCAACTCCAAATGACTTGGTACATCTCCATGACACAGATTCCATTATTTCACAGCACTGTTTTGGCATGGCTGTACCATGCTCATTTCCACAGGAGGGACTGCCACATGATCCTCAGCATTTAAACTAATTTGGCATCACCTGCTGGAAGCAGAGGGCTCTCTCTAAGGTGACATTACCTTGGTTAGTATAAGCACACAGTGGACATCACACATAAATACATTTTGAATCTCACATTTGCTGATTTCTTGACTTTTGTATATAATTCCTTGAGACTATGCTTTCCTGACACATATTTTGTGCAGAAATTCCTCTCTTGGTGTTCATAGAACACTCTCAGGGGTGTTAGACACCTAATCAAGAATGGAACTAAAACTGTCTCTGTGATCCAGTGATTTCCCATCTCTTCCTTACAACTTCTGCATCTGTCACCCTAGTGCTTCCTCACCTTCTCCCAGCCTCAGATTTTGTTGGGGATTGGATTGTTCCCACCAGATGTTAGCCAGAACGCGCAGCTATACATCCTAAGCTCCCCTCAACTTTGAATTAATTTTACTATCCCAACCTAGACTCCTGTTTGAATCTTTAGGTTGTGCCTATCTGAGCATCTCCAGATAACAATGGACTGCAAATTAATTCTTTGGACTGTCATATGCTTTTTAAAATGAAGTTGACTAAAATCTTTTGAATTGTGAATATTTGGAAGAGATAAATAGCAACATCATGCAATGAAATTTTACTTATTTCTCTTTTTCAATGGCTGGTCAAAATCTTCTTAGCACATACATGGAAATACAATATGAACTAAAAGTGTTAGAAATTGTAATAAACAAAGAACTCCTGTCATTATTCATCATCTGATAATGTCATTTCTACCACCAAGACTCTTGCATAACAGACAGCAGAAAAATCCCCTGCTGGAAATCACATCATGAGGTATTTGAGATCCTCTACCAATGTAAAGTGAAACTTTAGAGAAGTTTGGAGCAACAAAGATTAGTTTCTTAAATAATTTATTTGGAATATATTAGGTGTTAAATAACATCATATGGCACAAAGTGTTATCAGTTGCACTGCATTTGTTCATGATGACGCAGATGAGAAATCCCCAAAACACAAAGAAGAAACTTGACCAAAAAAAAGAAATCTTTGGTAGAGAGATCTAGGGAAATACTTGCTGAATGTGACAGTAGGGAGCTCCTAAACTGAAAGGAGATCAAAGAGAATGGTGATATGAACCGAAGCAATAAAAAGAAGGGAAGGTTTTTAGCATAGAAAATACAACAAGGGTGTTATGTTACAAAATTGCCAGGTTTTCTTTCCCCTTCCCAGTATGACAGCTGCTCACAAGATGTTTTTCCCTGCCTTGATGTTTCCTAGGATAGCAAGTGACTGATAGACCCAACAGCACCACTCCGCCTCAGCAGGAAGTGCTCTGATTTACTTGGACTAATTTGTCCTGCTGCAACTCCAGCAAGCCAACGGAAAGCTGGGAGGAGGATGTGGCTCATCACCTTTGAGGTGCCATGCAGAAGAGGCTGTGGCTCCATTTAGTCACGTTAAGGTGGGCAGAGGTGGGGAGAAACAAACATAGGACTCTCAGTGCCTTTCCACTCAACTGCTCCCCAGGGCCATCCTGGCAGCTCACAAACCCAGGGATAAGCAAACTGTTAGCAGTGCTCAGAAAGGAAACCAAATCAACATGAACCCTTCCAGCTTTTTTTTTTCCTTTCTTTCTTTCTTTTGGTCAAAATCTGTCAACTAGCATGCCTGTACCTCCAGCACCAGCACTGGATGGGGTGAGCTGTGTTCTTGTCAGACCTTGGCTTTTGTCAATGCTGAGGACAGCTCGACATTCCCACAGCAGGAGCCAGCCCTGGCTTCTTTGGTGCACCCGGTGCTTGGTGAGGCTTTGAAAGGCAGCTCAGCTTCAGGTGCCAAATCCCCTCATGCAGAAAGGCCGTGCATGCTGCATGCACAAACCCTAGTTCTGCTTTCTGAAAGCACCTCTTTGTCTCATGAACAAACAGAAACAGCCCAAGGACATGCCTTGGCCTACAGAAACTACATTTCTTCACCAGTCATGAACAATTTTCTCTTCTAAGCCTTGACGTGTACCTTGGTCCACATGAAAATCAAGAGACACTTGTGTCAGTGGGAGAAGGATCTCACCAGAAAGCCATTCTGCTTAAACCTGGTGTCATTTTCTCTGCTGTTTTGGGCTGCTTGTAAGTCACATGAGCAGGCCAGGCCTTGGCTGGCACAGGTTATAACTCAGGAAATAGAGTTATAAGTTAGGAAATTAGATTGGAATTTTTTGTGGGCAACAATATCCCACAGTGGCCACTTTTATGCAGCTTATCGTGTAAACACCTACAGCATGGTTCATACAGGGCAGTGACTCACAAATGGAAGATATTTACACCAATTTCTTTGTCCTGGCTCCATTGGCCCCTTTGGGATGGTATCCAGGTGGGATAATCTCAGCTAGGGCAGGTGAAAGCAGGAATTTAAGGGCAGTCAGCGTAACCACAGACATAGCTTTGTCCACAAAGATTTTCACTGAGGCGTTTGTCCTGGGACCACCATCCCAAAAAGAACCTCCCCCATTGCTACAGTTCCTACAGAAGAACAAAGGCACTGAGTCACCAACCTCTTTGATGGGCTTTTAAGGCAGCTGGGGTATAGCTGACCATCTTCCTTCACGTGCACACTGTCACTGCTACGGAGGAGATTTACTTTGCCTATTGAACACACTGAAACTCATCTATGACTATGTATTTGGCCATTTTGAATTGGCACTTCTTGCTTTAACCTACCATTTAATTATGCTTAACGTGCTTTGCTCTAAGGGGTCCCTCTCAGCTGATGAAGAAATATGTAGCTAGGTTCGAGGGCTAGGACTTAAAAAAAAAAAAAAATCAAGCTAGAAATAAGATCCATAAGTTCAAGAGAGAGTGCAATTAGCCCCTAGAACAACTCATGGAGGACTGTGTCAAATATCACATCTCTCAAAATCTTTCACTACCGAGGCCAGGCATCTGTTGTGGACAAATTTTGTGGTGCTGTCATAATTCTTCATCTCAATAGAGTTTCCTGGAAATAGAATGGGAGAATAATTTATTTCCCTGTCAGAAACACTGAAGGAATTTCTATGCCCTGATTTATGGAGGAGATCTGGACAGAAGGCTCTTCTGGCTTGGACTCTGCCATGACAGCAGCGAGTCCTTCCAAGCTCCCAGAAACCACAAGTTCTCCGTCTGGACTTCCAGGGTTTTGCACGACCAAGGATTTCCTATCCTATTAAATAAAAATTAAAATTAAATACCAATAAATACAAATAAATAATCACAATACGTGGAAGAGCAACCCACGGATTCTGCCAGGAGAGAGGGACTACCACACTAACACCGAGACTTGCACCTCTCATTGTCTGCTAGGGGGATGATGCCTCTGACCAACACTCTACTATATTGCTGCTCATGCCGGGACAGGAGACACCACAGTTTTCAATCAGTGTCAGCTCTTCCATGCTCTGCAAGTGTGGGGCTTGCTGGAAGAAGCCCAGGATGCTGCCCCGAGCTGCCACTGCTGTCTGCTGCAGGCCTGGCTCTCCCAGGACCTTGACGAGGAAGTTGATGTATCTCATGGCCAAGCGGAGCGTCTCGTTCTTGCTCAGTTTCTTGTCTGGTGGGTGGGTGGGAATGAGCTTCCTCAGCTTGGCAAAGGCACTGTTGACATTTTGCTGCCTCCACCTCTCCCTGCTGTTGGTGAAGATCTTCCTTGTCATTCTTAAGGTGCTGCAAAGCAAAGGAGATGGTGAGTGAATGTTGGATACCCCTGGTTTTCACACAGGCTGCTTTTTTAGGGCCACTGTAACCTCTGGACCAGTGGCCAGCACAGAGTAGTGGTGCTAGGCTTCTAATGTTTAGCCTCTCTGGCTGGTGCTCTTGTCCTCTTTGTCCTTTACAGATTCACCCTGAAGTCATGATCAGAAGTATTAGAGCTGCAATTGGGTGCCAGAGTTCAGTAAGAACTTCACAAAGGAGGTAAAGGAGTTTAATTTCCTTGTACAAGCATTTGGTGCTGCTACAAGTCCAGCTTCTCCAGGCTCCCCTACAACAGAATTCCCAACAGACAATGCATTTGCCATCCCACCAGGCTGCATGAGAGCCACACAGGCACTTTTTATGGGGGAAAGCAGGCAGAACACGTCCATGCTTTCCCAGCCTCATTTCACAGCTCCCTGGACTCTGCACCCAGGTAACCCAAGCTTGGTGATTCGTGGCTGGAACTAAGCCAGGTTCACTTCACCATGGGCCTTCAGTGAGCAGCCAGCCCCCACCACAGACATGTGTGACTGGTTGTTTCTCCAGGGCTGCACCAGTCTGGTTCCCTGCCCAGCCCACAGTGCTTCTCACTGCTGGTGTCAGACACTTTTCTGTCTGGCTTTAGCCTCTGAGAAATGCCAAAACTTAACCCACAAGTGTCATAAGTGTATGAGGGAAAGTATGATTCCTACAAAGCATGCTGGCATCCCAGACAAAACCTCTCCCCAGCTGTTCACTGCCCACCCTCACAGAGCCAAGAACAGACCTGGCAAAGAAGAGTACTGAGGCAAGGGGTGCACAGTGATTTTAAATGCCATTTGCCAGAAAGACTGCCAGAAGTTCTTTGTGTTGCCCTAACCTTTTTCCCACCACCATGTGAAAGTGCCTTCCCTCCTTTCCCACAGCTCTGGGAGAGAAAGACTCCTCCATTTCTGAAGCAGCTCTTTGTGCCAATGGCACACAGACAGTTGGGCAGGGAAGAGCTTTCCACAGCCAAGAGACTAAAGGACAAATGTTTCCACTTACCCTCTTATGCATGTGAAAATCTCAGCTTTTTATACCCATTGGCAAACTCTTCTTTACTGTAGACCTCTAAAGGGGAGTGGGGAGCAGAGGGAATAGAATCCTTCATCCCTAGGAAGAGGAAACTTTGGGATGACAGCCCAGCTGTGACCCTGTTTCCATCTGAAGCAGGCTTACACCATGTAAGACACTCGGGGTTCACCAAAACACACAGTAAACGTCCAAGGGAGTAAAGAAACACAAATGTGACTCACAGTTTAATTGGAATGCCCTGTCAGGGGGCCAAGGCAGGGAATTTCCTGCCCAACTCCTTCGAGTTGCAGTCCAGCATGGATTACCAGCTGCCAGGGGAACACAGCTGCAGCACTGTGGATCCTGTCACAGCTGTGTTCAGACACCTCTGGCCAGGGATGCAACCAGCACAGGCACACCCCTGAACACTGTAAATGCCTGCTCACACTGACAACACCTCACATGCTCCTCTTGGCCCTGGCCTTTACACTGGTAACACATTTCTATTTTGGTAGAGGTCTGGAATTGCTGTCATACCTTTAGGGGATGAGAAAATTGTCGCATCAAAATGGCCTTGTTTCATGAAAGGCTCCTTCAAAAAACAAACCTTTATATTTCAGGTTGCTGAGAGTTTTTCCTCATCTTTTGTAGACTTACATTAAGACTCAGTGCTTGATCCAAATGGGGATTATATCTCTAGTTTTATTTTTTTAATTGTTGTCCTACTCCGTGTATCATTTTTGGTTTATGCTGTGGGAACAAATCTGCTTGGTGCTTTGCTCCTACCTCAAATATGTTGCATGTACCTTTCTGGCAAGAGCACTGCCACATCAGTGGTACAGATTTAAACACTGTCTTTCAGTGCTTCTCTGTAGTGCAATGTTTTCAGTGCCCAAGGCAAAACTTTTGCCTTTACAGATTTATTCTTCCAAGCAGCTGCTCACATCCATGTGAAATGCAGAATGCCACCTGCTTCTTTCTCTGTCCTCTGTTTTGGTATTTTTGTTGTTGTTGGTTTTTTTTTTTTTGTTTTTTGTTTTTTTTTTTTTTCTTCTGAAGACATACTTATCTGTACAAAGGTAGTTATTTTTTGTAACATAGGGGAAGTTATTTGGGTTCTCTTGTTTCTTCTAATGGGTTGGCTGGGCCGTATTTTGCCAGACCTTTGGGGCTCTGCACTGTAATTCTGCCATGTGGGTCAGTGTTTGCTGGGTACCTGTTTACATCTCAGCTACAAATACCAAGAGAGAGTCTGCTTCTTGTCTTCCTCCTGCTGCAGGAAAGCAGGTTAACACCCAGCCCTGGTGCTGTGAACGTGCCCTCGTGTCCTGTTAGTGGTGTTATTGGTGGAAAAATAAACCCAGCCTACTCCTTCACGCCGTGCTTTCTTTGTCTCTCCACTCATGCCTTTGGGAAGGACAATGCTACGTTTGTGGTCACAAGCCTTGTCAGCAAACAGATGCCTTTGTGAGAACAGCTCCTGCTTTACACTTCAAAAACGCGTGTTTGTATTTCTGACATTTATTCGAGATCAGCAAACAACGGCGCCTTTCCTTTCCCGGTGCCTCCGCTTGCAGGGATAGCACTTTGGGGAGCTTTGCTTCAGGTGTAAGCCACTTTATATGTCTCTCCACCTTAAATTCCTCTCCTCTTTCCCTTTACTGGTGTGCATTTACTGTTGTTGTACTTGGAGTTTCCATTAGAAACATAGCAGATAAATTATCTCGATCCAATCCTGCAGTGATTATAATGTTTCAGCACAGCTTTTTGCTCTGGTCACCTATGCATCCCTCGAGTTCTCTGTAACTACAGCACCTTCTAGTTAAAATGCAGCCAGTTTGCTGGCAAGGGATCTGATTTCCATTTCTTTTGTCTCACTCCCTTCCTTCTTTTTCCTTCCTTCTCTCCAACTCTTCTCACTAGACTTGTCTTTCAATGTATTATTTGCAGCTTCAGGTCTTTGCTAATTGTGCACAACCAAGCAATGTATTCTTTGGCTTTCTCTGATTCACTGTATGAAATGCATGTCATCTACTTGGTCTGTTTTAAATCTGTGCAGAAATCACCTGTTTGTACAAATAACTTGTAGATTTATTGCATAAACCTGCAGGTTTGGACTCTGTACTTTCTGCTGACCTTTCCTAGCCACAGATTAACAGCCCCACATTTAGCTGAGAATTCAAAATCCAGTAAAACAGCAACTTAAATTCAAGAGGATTAATTCTGCTCTCAGCAACCTAAATCTGGAAGTTTACACCATTTTCACTGGAAGAATTACTTTGAAGGACAAAATTTTGCACTGAGGAAAGGATTTAACTCAGGCCAAGAAGGCATGCCCAGAAGTAGGATGTAAATGGAGTTTCATGAGCTAAGGTGCACATCTGCAACGATGTAAAGAGAATTATGCAAAGAAATAGCCCCAAACGGATCTGCTACAACAGCAAGAAAGAGGGGGAAAAAAAAAAAAAAAAAAAGGAAAAACAAGCCACCACCACCCACCAAAGAGACAACTGAAGCTCTTTGCACCCCCTGCCTACCCATTTGAAAAATATAAAAATGTGTGGTGGGCGGAATATTGGCTATTTCCAATGCAGCCGCGAGTTTCGCCAGACAAAAGACCGAGCTGCGGAAGAGATGAAGATCTCTCCCAGCAGCAGCTCTCACAGCCTCTCCGTGCTAAAGCCTTTCAGGCAATTCAGGCAGCAGCAGAGCAGCAGAGCAGCTTAGGCACAAAGCACATTTCTGCCAGACATTCCCCAGCAAATGGCCCCCGAGCCAGCGCTTAATGTCTGAAGGCTGGCAGGGGACTCGCCGGCAGCCCGGCACTCAGTCATAATTAGCAGGATGCTATTAACTAAAGATCTTGGACGAGAAAGTTCCTCCCTCAAGTTATACCTCTGACCTCGGTGAAGTTAAATCCATGTTGAAACTGGCCGCTGGAGACCTGCTCCTGCAAATCTTAATCAGACAGCAGATGCCTGCTGCCACCAAGAATTGGAGTGCTTCTAGTAAAGCTGCGGTGCCATACCATCACTCCACAGGGGAAGCCCAGCGCCTGCTAAAATTGGTTATTTAACACATTGCGCTGGATTTTGTGAAGTCCCCCCAGCCCTTAAGTAAATGGCAACAGAAGAGCAGATGGTTTCTGTTTCCTCTCCCAGGCAGGTGCTTGTGAGCCCGGTCTGCCACGGGGAGCAAAGATTCTCCAGCCATCACTCCTTGCTGCTGTGCTTTGTTCGCTTTGCATCCCTGTGATTTGGGCAAGAGGAGAAAGGGGAAATTCAGAGTTTCCCTCTTCAGTTTCACACAAGCCTCAGAGCGTGGCACTCAGCTTCACGCAGAGGGCAATATTGAGCATGGGTGTTACAAGACAAAACACTGCCTATAACTGACATGGGACTTTATTTTTTTTTTTTCACATTCCCTAGGAGGAATAAACTCACTCATTGCACCTTAACTGTGCACAGTTTGCCGCATGGCTGGTTGGATTTCAGGGACTCTTTTTGGGCTGGGAGGGGAAGGAAGGGCAGAGGGAACAATGCATCCCAGCTTGATGGATTGCAGGAGGAGCAGCTCACCACCAGGTACAGGCTCTTCCCTGCAGCTTTCCTCAGCTCATTCTCCCCATTGCTGCCTCCCTGCATCTCAGTGCTGACCCATCCCAAATTTCCTCCCACCCAAAATCCTACAGGTGTATCAGTGGACAAGGACACAGAGAGATCTCAATGCTGAGAGGGAATGCTGGGCTGGCAACCAGGGAGCTGAACTTCTGTCTTTCTGTGGTCCCCTTGCCTCAGGCAAACTCCTTTTTCTTTTTTTTTTCTTTTTTTTTTTTTTTTTTCCTACACCTCCTTGACCCTCCTGCTTATTAACCTCTGCAAGGTTTGTGGAAAAAAGTGTCAAGTGTATGTAAGAATTTGTGTGTTCGAGCAGACACAAGCACAGGGTGGCCCAGCCTGGCAGTGCTGGTATAATGAATGAGAAGAGCCTTTCCCTGCATCCCCAGGGTGATTCCTTACACTATCAGTGAACTTCATTTTATTTCAAATAAGATGTGGGAAGAGGAACTACTTCAGGAGTAAACAAGGGCTCCTTTCTCTACCTCATGGCTCTGTTGGGGGTGTTATGTGACAATCACACCACGGTACACAGCAGAGCAGAGCAGCAAAAGCACTGTAAAAACCAGTCCATGCTGACACAGTGATTTACCTTTTTTAGAGCCTTTAAATCTAGGACAAGATGCACACAGTAGAATCTCTGCTCCTGGGAGCCCTCCTGTCTAAGGGCAGCGTTTACAGAAGCTCTCACAGTGCTCTCACCGAACCTTTAGAAAAAGGAAATCACTGGAGTCTTCAAAAGCAGCTGTGTGAAGGTCTCAGGACTAAGTCACCCTTCGTGTTTGGGGTTACTACACTGCACATGACCCCAGTTTCAAGGGGCAGCTCTTTCACCTGACCCAGTGCTGCTCCTGGGTTGCTGAGCTTTGTACTCCAGTTGCCCTCCTGGAGGGTTCAGGTCTTCAGCAGCAAAGAGCTCTCTGCTTTCTGAGGAAAAAAGACTCCACAGCCTGCACACTGTGTCATCATGCTCTCTAGGCCTGCCTTGGGAAAAGAAGATCTGCAAAGCAATGAACGGGCTGCCACCCAGATGGGGTTTGGGAGAGCACAGAGTATGTGGCCAAGAACTTGGCAATAGCGATAAAGATGTGGCTCGAGAAAAGGTTTACTTTGCACATGAGAGTGGGCTTTTTTTGGGGTTTAGGGCTTCTTGTTGTTGGATTATTTTTTTTTTTCATGTAGCTCTCTTCTGCTTAATACTTTTTATGGCTCTTTGCAGAAAGATTAGTTACACAACAGCACCACACCAAAAAAATAAAGAACCACTCGTGGGCTGCAACAGCTTTTGCTAAATGGAGTTCCAGTGCATTGGCAGGGGCATGACAGCTTGCTAAGCTGAGAAAGAAACACTCTGCCAGGTTTAGCTTTTATTTGCTGAAGTTGCACTTGTGTTATTTTCTGTTCCAGAGAACCTGAGAGTCTCTCTTGGAAAAGTGCTTCGCTGGCCTGTGGGTTTCCTTTAGCAACACTCTCTGCCAAATTAACAGCCCAAATACTACATAGAGACACCCTCACGGTGCTTTAAGGTAAACACAGAGAGGAAAAACAGTTGGGTTCTGTTCCAGGAGTTCTTCAGGTATCTGTCCTTTTTTTTATTTTTGTTTTTGTTTTTTTGGGTTTTTTGTTGTTGTTGTTGTTTATGTGGGTTTTTTTGTTTTTTAGGGGTTTTTTTTGGTTGGTTTTTTTTTTGTTTGGTTGGTTGGTTGGTTTTTGTTTTGGTTTTGTTTTTCAGGTTTTTGGGTTTTCCTTTTTTTGGTTTTTGGTTTTTTGGGGTTTTTTTTTGGTTTGGTTTGGTTTGTTTTTTGTTTTCGGGGTGGTTTTTTTGTGGTTTTTCTTAGTTGGGTTTTTTGTTTGTTTGTTTGTTTTTCCTCAGACCCAGTGTGCAAAACCCTGTTCCACAGTGATATTTCTCCCACCTCCATCCTGCCTCCCTCTCTCTGGCCCAGGGAGGCAGGAGGGCAGCTGTGAACAGCAGAAAACATTTGCCCTGCCTGTGTCTGTAGGGAAGACCACATCCTCCTCCAAGTGAGGAGTGGGACCAGATGCTCCACATCTCACAGCTCAGCAGAGAGCAGCCTGCAGCAGCTCAGGCTGTTAGAGAAGTTGCTGGGAGCAGAAAGGGGAAAATCCAGCCAATGCAAAGGACATTTGCATCAGGGGGAATGTATATATTTATTATGTTTGGATGTGGCCCCCAAACAACATTTGCTTTTGCATTCTGTGCAGGTCTGCTCTGAGGCTGGTGGAAAATCTGTCTGTGACTGCAGCCAGAGGAGGACTGGAGGTCTAGCAGCATCCAGTGCCCTGTCTTCCTGCCAAAGCTCCCACCAGGCTGCTGACCACCTCGGGCCACACCAGAGGTCACCATGAGCACAGAGGAACGTGGCCACCACGGCAAAAATCAGCTGCCAAAAGTGAGACACAAACCACTGCAAGACAAGGAGCACAGCCCCATTTCCCCCTAAATGTCTTGCCACCAACCTCTGTGGGGCTGCTCCTGAGAGGAACAGCAGCTCAAAGATCATCCCTGCCTCAGCCACACCTGTGTTTAGTCCAAATTTCCTGCCTGGAATGCTGGCTCTGTGAGCACATAATTTCTTGGATCCCCTGCTCACATCACTACTGTAAAGATTTATGTAAACAGGCAGTAAAACCAAGCTGCATTTATTTCAGCGGTTTTTTTTTTTTTCTGGTTGTTAGCTTTGCAATACATTGTTTGTTTGGCCTTTTTATTTTTTTCTCCTTTTTTTTTTTTGTATCTGTGTGAAATAATGTAGAAATGCATGGTGGAGAAATATTCTGAAAATGAAATATTGTCCCGTAGTGTTACAAGGAAATCAGGAAGGATAGAGACAGCTACTTCAGAAAACATGCATGTTTTGCTGTTTATTAACTTTCTTAAAAAACAGTTTTATGCAGAAAGCTACCCCTGGAAATAGAAACATGTTTTATATTGGCAGTTTCAAAAGTTTTTTCACTAATCTGAGAGTTACAAATATTTAACAGGATTTTTTTTTTTAAATGCTAAGTTTTTCCTCTTAAGTGCACTGTTGAACTGCAGAAAATTCAAATGCCTGTATGTTTTACATCTGCATCAGCTGTAACACAGATGACCAGTCAAGTATGGGGATATTTTAAATATGTGAGGATTGGAATTTAAAACTTATTCCTTACTCTTTTACTTGTTGACCCAGTCTGTGAATTTCCACACAGTCTAGTGAAAAAATAGTACACCTTTATTTGTGCTTTTGCAAGGAATTTGTTTTAAATATCACACAGCATTGGAGAATTCATTTAAGTTTTATTTCTGAACTCAGGGAGTCTATGACACACTGTGTAATCCTTTTGCACCAGTGCAATAACTCTGATTTACAGCAGCTTGCAGTGCTATAAATGAGCTTGCCTAATGTGTAATTATACAGCTGTAAGAAAATCTAGGAACAGTTAAGAGCAGTGATTATAAAATCACTTTCGTTTCCTCCACATCCCACCACCAACATTTCTCTCCAAAGCAGTAAAACCAATCAATATTTTCTTCTGGAAAGGTCTGACTCACTGAGTCTCTGTGGCGACTAGGAATTTGGAAAGTTCAGGTACAAACTGTCTCTTCACTTGATGAAGTGCAGCCACCTGTAAGTGGCTGTCTGTCAGATGAGATGCCTCACTCTTAAATTTTTGATGACAGGAATCAGAGGTGCCACAATAAGAAAAGAAAATCCAGAGAACCGGCAAAAGGCCACTACAGAAATCGCTTCCTTTTAGGATATTCCCTGCTCTGAGGGGAAATTTTGGCTTTCCTAGGAAAGTTGCAAGATAAGCCCAAAAGAGGGGAGGATGGCTGTAAAGAGGAAGAGGCCATTGTCACTTACTTTTCTGGTACTTGTGCCTCTGGAAACCTGGTCGGGGGCGAAGAGGCAGCAAAATCAGGCTCTTCCTGTGCTTCTTTCCCGACTGCTTTTCCAGTGCCTGCCCACGGAGCTTGCTCTTGCTGGAGTCAGCCTAGCGCTGGTCCCGGCTGCCTCATTTATAGAGTAGCAGTTCCTTTGTCTGGCGCGTGTCACCACTAGTCCTGGCAATCCAGGGAGCTTGTTTTGCATCTCCCAGGAGATCCTCTCTCTGTCTTGCCTTTTCTCTGCTCACCACATGCCCCCTGCCTTTTTCTAGGGCTGGTGTGGGGTGGTGGCTGGAGCCGTCCTCACCAGAGTCACTTATCTCAGTGACTCTGGCCAGAACTTTGTAGGAAAGGATGGAACTAGCATTAGCCATAGTCTAATTTCCCCCTTGTTTTCCTCTTCTGTTTGGGGAGATTTTTTTAAATTTTACTTATTTATCCAACTCTGATGTTGTCAGTGTTTAGAGAAACGGAGATGGCTCTTTCAAAAGCCCTCCTTAGCATGGCTCAGAACTGAGGAACAGGCTGGAGGTATTTATTGCATTCCCAAGCAGGAGGAAGCTCCTGCTCTGCTCTGACAGAATGTGAGGTGTAGCTGGGGGGATGAAAATGTGCAGGCGAGTGGATCCTGCCCTCCCTTCTTTGGTGGGAGCTCCCTCTCACTTGGAGTCACAGCTGGCACCCTCTGCAGCCAGGGGACAGTGAGCTGCTGCTGCCCCAGTGCTGCCCCAAGCCCTGGTGTCCCCGTGCCCCACTCTGTGTGACAGCAGGAGCCACAGGTGAGAATTCACACCTGTCTAGCCTGCCCTTCGCTCCAGGGCCCAGGCAGGGCACTGAAGGGTTAACTCACGTTTTTACTGCAAAGATGAGCCAGCTCCATACCCCTGTGGCTAAGATGTAGGGTCAGTGAAACACTGATTTCTTTCTGCATTGCTGAAAAGCTTCCTCTCCGAGCGAGGACAAGAGGGAAGCAGGGTGACATCAGAGTGCAAACCCCCAAACTTGCAGAATAACCCCACCCCAGCCATGTGTCTGTATCCAGGACAGGGACTGGTCCATCCAGCCTCACCCTTGCCCTGTAAATGGGTAAACCATTCAATTATAGGTCAAGCACTGGCACAGGTTGCCCAGGGAGGTGGTGTGTGCCCCACCCCTGGAAACACTCAGGATCACTCTGGATGGGGCACTGAGCAACCTGATCTAATTGAAGATATTGCTCAGTGCAGGGTGGTTGGACTAGGTGGCCTTTAAATGTTCCTTCCAGCCCAAAACAGTCTTTGCTTCTATGAAAATAGTCATAAAATCGCCCCAGGCACAGTCCAACGAGCCTTGCTGAAGCCATACAGATCCTTTGGGACCCATCCAATCCTTTCTGCTCCTCCATCCACTTCTCCATTGAGTGCTGGGAGTTTGCTTTGGATGAACTTAAGAGCAAATAGGGAGAAAATTAGCAAGATACTTGCTTATGCCCTGGAGCAGCAGGAAATATCCTGGGGATACAAAGGAGAACAAGGGGTGGGGAAAGAGAAGCCCCAGCTCATCACCCCACTTCCATGCGGCAGGAAAACTCCAGCACCCAGGATGAGCAGCTTCAGGCCACCACTTCCCTCTGCCAGGTGCCAGGAAAGCTCAGCTCTTACCCAGACCAGCTCACCCCAGACAGGCTCAGCAGTGCTCACCTACTGGGTTTTTAGCAGCGCTGAGGATGTTTCAGCTAACGGGATTGCTCCATGAATATTAATAAGCCAGCAGCGGAATGATGCGGTCGCTCTCCGGAGAGAAGGAGCCTCGGGTCCCTGCCAGGGCAGAGCTGTTCCCTGCAGAACCCCAAGGAAGGTTCAGCCCTTTCACACGGTAAATTAACAGTGGCACTACAGCCTGAAAGCTGTGTCAACCGCTTCATTTAGCACAAGTGTTATGTTAACTAAAGGCCCTATTCCGGAGGGGCCTTTGGCCTCACAGAAGCCTAATTTCCATGTAATTTACATTGGAGAGTTGGAAAGTGTCCCTCCTCTCTGTTACTCCCTCCATCCTATTATGTTCCTGAGATGCCCCGGCCAGCCCAGCGGGCAGCAGTAGGGAAGGAGCTTGTAGGTCCCGAAAGGGAAAGGAACTGAAGCTCTTGATCCCTAACTGCTTAGACACTTCACTGCCTAGGGCTTTCAAAAACTGTCCAGGCAAAGCACTGAAAAATACACAATCAGGAAAGGTTCTTTCCTTGCAGGGAGAGGGGTAGGCTGGACTGCTTTTCATTCCCACTCGTGCATCCATGCAGGAGAAGATGCAAATATGACAGAACTTTGTCCTGCACTGCTGGGGCACACCAGGACCCGCTGCCAGGCACTGGGCAGGAGGTGCCAGGTGCAGAGCCAGCACTGGTGAGGTGGCACAGGGCTGCTGACATTTGCACCAGCTTCCAGGGTCTTTTTCGTGCTGTCAAAATGCTCTGAAGGGGTCATACATCAGGGTCTGCTTCACTGTGTCTTTATTAAGCTTCCTATTGAGCTGTGATTACTTGGCACCCATGAACCACACCAGTCTTAATCATCTTCCTCTCCATGCTTGTCTGTGACCTGGCAGCAGGGGGAACACATTACAGTCCATCCCTGCAGTCCTGGCATTACTTTTCCACAGACCAGGATGGTATAGCTCAGCCAGGAACAAGCACTGTGGGAGCAACATCGCACCCTGGGCTTGCTCCTCCTCACAAAAATCCATGCTGGGATGCATCCTAACAGTTTCCCTGGAATCTGGGGCAATTCTTTACCTGCAACAGGTCTGGTTTGCAGCAGCCACTCTGTTACCAGTTCATGAAAACTGAAGGGGGCACCAAAAGGATTTTGTAAGGTGTGATATTAGCAGGTCATTCAACTTCAGCCACCTCACCTCTGCACCACAGGAACTGCCTGACCTGGGTGAAGCAGCAGACTGAGTGCTCTGTCTTATGAGCTGCATTTCCACGTGGGACTCTGTGAAGTGGGGCACTTGAGAGCTGGCAGTTTTGGAGAGGTCAAGAACATCTGGGAGGCTGCAAAGTGTGAACATCTCAAAACCGGGCCTCTTTCTGAACTCTGCCATGCCAGGATTAAAATCCCAGCCCCTGAAACAAACCGGGGCATAACCCTGGTTTTTCCTCTTCCTAAAAGGAAGAAAAGCTGTTTCTGGCATAGGGGACTGTGTGGTTTGCCACCAGGAGCAAAAGGCTTTATCCTGCTGCACAGCTCCCAGAACCGAGATAAGCCTCTCCAAGAGAGAGGGATGGTCAGATGGGCAAACAAATGTTTATGGTTCCCACTGGGCCAGACCTCCAACCCTGTCTCCCTCTAGCAAAACTATTACTTGCAAGTGACCAGAGAACCCTGCCAAAATACAAGCAGAGATTTCAAAGGATGGGCCTGGATCTGAGTAATTTTTTCTGCTTTGTGAGGTGACCCAGGTGAGCCTGATGAAAGCAGCACGCACAGAGTGACGGGCAGGAAAAGGACAGCGAGAGGCTGCAAACCCGCAGCTGTGTTACCACTGTGACTTCGGAGCCCTGCTCTACATATGGGAACAATAAGAAACAATTACGCACATCTGGGCCCCTGCCCTTTAAAATCATAATTCAGATTAATAGATTTTGAGTATATTGAGCTGGAGGAGGCTGCTTGAGGTTCAGAATAGCAGCTGCATGCAGACTGCTGAAATATTAAACTTTCATCATCTAGAGCTTTTTCCAAGCATTTTGAATCTCTTATTAGTGCTAACAAAACGCATCAGGGGGTGCTTTAAATTCTGGCCACACTTTCTGGCTTAATTCCAGAAGCCAAAAATCTCCTCCTTTTTAATGCTGAAACTTGCTGATAGCATTGAAGAAAATGTTTAGCCACAGAATAAAGAGACTGAAAACCTAATGTGCCTCTAAACCTTTTCACTAGGAGCAAGGGGAGAGACAAACAGCTCATTTTCCACTTGACACAGATGCACCTCAACATTAAAAGTTATTGGAAATCATCTAGAATAGAGGAAAACAAGTCAGGCATCTGAAAGGGTAAGCAGCTGCCACTTTCGGGGGGGCACACAATGTGGAGCTCAGCCAGGTTGCATGCAGCTGTAAGGCAACCACATCAGCACCACTCAAAACTGGGATTAAAAGAAATGTGAGGTTGAATTTAAGGAAATCTTTCTGACCAGACTAAAAGCCCCAAAGGGTCTTTGCCTTATGTGCATGTCCTGCAACAAACTCACAATTAATGACAACAAGTTGTCAAGAGACCAAGAGCTTTAATTTCCAGCATGACTTCAGGCAAAACCCTCACCCCCCGCCAACCATTTGGATTTTATGTGCTGGGGATTCCAGGATTTTCCAGTCTGGCAAGTCCTCTTTCTTCATGTAGAAGTCTTTGGAACCATGTAGCTTGCTCTCTGAGGTGGACTCTTGTAAGAAAGGAGGGAATTTGCTCTGGATCTCTCCAACACCTCTTAGTGCAGGTTGTTGTATGGGAATGGCCGAGGTTGAAATCCTCAAAGGAGAGGTCCCAGGTTTGGTGCCTGGGGCTGCTCCTCTTACAGGACCAGCTGTGCATGTGTGTGCAAAGCTAGCCTTTCAGGAGTTCATTATGATTTTACAGTTCATTTCATACAGAAAAAGCAGATGTATGCACTATCCTAACTCTTAAAGGTAGATTTCTTCCCTCACTTTCAAAGCTTCTCCATCCTATTATTTTGCTGAATTATGAATGTATGCCCATATTGGTGCCTTGATGGTGGAGAGATGGTTTAGCTTAAAAAATTTTTAAATGGCTTTTTTCCCATTGTTTTAAGGATTTTCTTATAATTTTTTATCAATTTTGATCAATTGAATCTGAATGTTTTTAAAGTAACTCTGTATTTCAGATGCTCAGCTGGTGCAAAGGGATGACCTTTCATCAGTTACTACAGAACAGTGCTGACTCGCAGCCTGCAGGAATTACTCTCTTTTAATCCACCTGTATTCCATTCCATGACCATGCTAAACACCCCTTTACTTTCCACTGCCTCAACAAGAAGCCAAGGGCAGACAGTGAAAGGAAGACAAAA